AGTTGGACCTGAGCATGTGGCAAGCCCCTCCCCAGGTCTCACCAACAAAGGAGTTGGACCTGCTTGGAAAGCCCCTTCCCACCAACAAAACAGGGACTTTGGGGGACAAAAAGGGGTCCTGAAGCCTGCCCACTCTTTGAGCCAAAGATGGCTGCAAGTTCATTCACAGAGGACCTAAGTCAACCCCATTAAAATCCAGCCCACTCGCTCTTTCTTTGCTAGCAGCTTCCTCCTGGAGAGGAGATGCTTTCAGTGGGTCCTTTGGGGAGATTTGAAAGGTGACTTATGATTTATTTTATTTTATTTTATTTATTTTGTTAAGCACATATAAGATAACAGGTAAAAGTATAAACATAATTTGAATACATGAAAAGAGTAAGTAAAAAGGAATATTAGAACAGGGACGGTAGGCACGCTGGTGCACTTATGCACACCCCTTACAGGCCTCTTAGGAATGGGGTGAGGTCAACAGTAGACAGTTTAAGGTTAAAGTTTTGGGGGTTTGGGGAAGAAACCACTGAGTCAGGTAGTGCATTCCAGGCATTGACCACTCTGTTACTGAAGTCATATTTTCTTCAATTGAGTTTGGAGCGGTTTACCTTGAATTTGTATCTATTATTTGCTCATGTATTGTTGTGGTTGAAGCTGAAGTAGTCATTGACAGGTAGGACATTGTGGCAGATAATTTTACGTACTATGCTTAGGTTGGACTGAAGTTGGCATAGTTTTAAGTTGTCTAAGCCCAAAATTTGGAGTCTGGTGGCATAAGGTATTTTATTGCAGGTAGAGAAATGGAGGACTCTTCTCGTAAAATATCTCTGGACTCTCTCGATTGTATTTATGTCCGATATGCAGTGCGGGTTCCAGACAGATGAGCTGTATTCAAGAATTGGTCTAGCAAATGTTTTGTATGCTCTAGTTAGTAGATTAGGTTAACAACTCTTAATGCCTTTTTGGCAATGTTGTTACAGTGGGCTCTGGCACTTAGATCTTTAGAGATGAGTACTCCGAGGTCCTTGACAGAGTGAGGGTCATCTACAAGGTCATGTCCATCTAATTTGCATTTTATGTTTTGATTTTTTTTTTGCCAATGTGCAAAACAGCATTTGTTGGTGGAGATATGAAGTTGCCACTTGTTAGACCAATCTGACACATAGTCAAGGTCTTTTTGAAGGGTAGTTGCATTGTCGGTGGTGTTGAATAGTTTAGCATCATCAGTGAAGAGAACACAGTTGCTTTTAATATGATAGCAAATATTTATATACATAAATAACCTTTAGGTATTATAAATTTATAAAGGGTGGGGAATTCTGACAGTCGGGGCAGGGGGTGCATTAGTTTAATTTTGAAGTAACAGTAACAGAGTTGGAGGGGACTTTGGAGGTCATCTAGTCCAGGGAGCCGCCTTTGTTTGTTGTGATTAAGCAAAGCCTGGCCCTATTATTATTGCAATGCAAGAAGTAAGTGATGAGAATAATACGAGTTTAAAGAGACCTTAGAGGTCATCTGTCCAACTACCTAGTAGAACATGTTTCTCAACCTTAGCCATTTGAAGATGTGTGCACTTCAACTCCCAGAATTCCTCAGCCAGCACCCAGGGGGTCCTCCCTCCACAGGTCTTTCCATAGTTTAGCTGCCATTTACGCTGCCTGTAGGGGGCAGTCTGCACTTTTTTTTTGAATTTTTTTTGAATTTTTAAACAAACATACATAAAACATAAAACCATCTTCAGTTACACACAGTGTGTCGGTTGGTTACAAGTCTTTTGTGCATCTTCACTATATTCATAGCTTACAGTTTACCTAAATTCTCATATTATCAATCTAATATATATATATATATGTATTTTGTCCTCATTGATCATTTATTTGACTATAACTATTCTCCCCTCATTTTGTACAAAATATTCTAAGATTTGAGTTAATTTATATTATAACATTCATTTCATCACTAAATCGATCCAATAATAATAATACATCTTTATGTTATATTTTATATAATTCTACAATTCTTGTATTATAAAAAATCTCTATCTTTTTTCATTTCCATATTTTTTTATCTAACCATTGATAAAATAAGTCCCATATCTTATAATATGGTTTATCTTCTTGTTCTCTAATTTCAAATGTCAATTTGCCCATTTGCTCAGTGCAGTCTGCACTCTCGATCTTTTAAGTCCGAGGTGTCCTCCACAGGCAATGAGAAGGACAGCTAAAGTTGGGAAAGACCCATTTTCCTCCATTTTGTGGCCCAAGTCGCTTTCTTGAGGCAATTCTTTTCCCCCCCTCCATTTCATGGGGGAAAAAACGGATTTCCCCCCCTCTTTTGGCTTCAGCTCTTCTCCTCTTCAGCCTGGAGTCAAGAAAGGTTTCCTAAAGGGAGAGAAGTTGGAGGACTGAGGGGGGGGTGGAGGTGAGTTTTACCACCTAATGGGGGGGGGGGGGGGGAGAAAAAGACCAACCGTCATTTTGCGACCGTTACAGATTCCCTCAGAGGTTATCTAATCCGTATATGGGGGCAATTTTATCAATGAATAAGATATTGAATATAGATAATAGGCAATGTAAAAGTAAGAAATATGGGGAAAATATGTTGTAGTACATTAAACTTAAATGTAAGAAGGAAAGATAAATATGTATTAAGAAAATGATGATAAATGTTGAATATGATGACACAAATTTTTTTTTGTACCCAGATGTTACACTGATGATTGATTAATGATGGATTGTTTGTTTAAAATAAAAAAAAATTTTTTTTTTTTTTAAAAAGAGAGGTTATCTATTCAGCCCCTGCCTCCCCTTTGATCTGCTTGTGTGCAGCTTTAAGGACATTATTATATTCCATAATTTCTCCCGTTTATCTAATTCAATATTGTATCCAAAATTTTTCGCCCAAATTGTCGTGTTTTCTTTGACTACCTCTTCTCCCAAATTGATTAAAAAAAAAAATTACAACTATTTATTAAGATACAAATTGGAAGCAGTTTTAAGGACATTCTGTGTGCTCAGTTCTCATGGGAGCATTTGGAGGGCCTGGCTTTCATCTTTCACCTCCCATTTTCCCCCCCTTCTTTTAGTCAAGGGGTCTTTGCCTGAGGAGCTCTCACTTACCTTGTAAACCCTCCATATTGAAAAGGGCACAGGCTGTGGGGTATCTGAGGGTGCACCCCTAGCACCTATCCATAGCTAGAGCAGAGATTGTGACATAATGCAAAAGGTCATGAAACATTTCCCTGTGCTTGATTGTGGACAGTGCTATTCTATATAGGGCTGTGATGGAGAACCTATGGCACGGGTGCCACAGGTGGCACGCGGAGCCATATCTGAGGGCACATGAGTGTTGCCCTAGGTCAGCTCCAGCACACATGTAGTCGCTGGCCAGCTGATTTTGGGTCTTCCGGGCCCACTGGAAGTTGGGAAATGGGCTCTTTCTGGCCTCTGAAGGGCTTCCGGGGGGGTGTTGAGGAAGTCCGTTTTTGCCCTCCCCAGGCTCCTAGAAAGCCTCTGGAGCCTGGGGAGAGTGAAAAATGGGCCCACTGTGCCATCGCGTGCAAAGAGCGTGGGAAGCGTAGATTAACAACAGCAGAGATCCATGCCCGTCATTTATTTTCTCAGAAGGTTTTTCCTACACGCTGTTGGCCCCTGGTCTTTTCTTGGAGGGTGGTAGGAGGGAAGGAAGCAGGAGGTCTCACTTCTAAATGAAGCCCTGAGATGTCATCACCCATCCTGTATTTTTAAAAAATGCTCCTGTAGGCCATAGAAGCCTTTTGTAGAAATAAAGGGTGACAGAGACTGGCACTCTGCTTTGCAGCACACTAAGTATTGCATTTTGCTTTCGGTATTTAGTTTTTATCTCCAAAGGCGGATGGCAGACGAAGAACAGAACAGAGAATAAGAAATAGGAAATAGGAAATAGAATAGAATAGAATAGAATAGAATAGAATAGAATAGAATAGAATAGAATAGAATAGAATAATAACTTTATTCTCACTTTGAATGTACACTGATCGGCATACATTAAAATGAAATTTCATTGCATACAGCTCTGAAAGGGTCACCATCTCCAATGTACACTACAGAAACATGATAAAATAAATAAATACAAAATTATGTATATGTATATATCCACATATACGACACAGAGAAGTAACACAGTCTAGTTCAGATGTATACATGTACATGGCGAGTGAAACGAATCTTGCGAGTTCACCAGACTGATGGCATAGGGAACAAAGCTGTTACAGAATCTGGTAGCCCTGCTAGAAATACTTTGAAAGCTCTTCCCAGAGGGGAGCAACAAAAACAGACCGTATAGATAGATATTGGTGGATATCTATAAATTTTTGGTTGTCAATCCCCATCTTAAAGACCAACAATCAAGAAACAAACAATGCCCCAATCAAGAAACTGCCAATCAACCTAACAGTAATCGACCCACCAACTGCCATTGGGACAATAGAACCTCCCAAGTCCACCCCTCACTAACAGGGCAAGCCACTAGAATATAAACTGACAACAAACCCCATTCTTAATAGCACTGATAATGTTACCTAGTTTGTGTAATGTGATGTCTGCATAAAAACAACCAAGCTCATAAGAGAGCACCAAGAATCCCTCATGGTAAATAATTGCATATTGAAACATAGGGCATAAATATTCTCAACATAATCGGAGGCACCCACAACATTTTACATACCCTCTCCAGAATGACTAATAAAAGTATTTTGTAATAATTACTATCTTAGTGTATTATCTGCCTATAATTTACTATCTTAATGTATTATCTGCCATGAGGTCATGTTGAATTTTAATGTTCGCATAATCAATCAAAAAATATAAAATAAACATCAGCAATGGAGTTGCAGAGAGTTTCGCATTTCTTACAATGCAATCTGGTCCTTGATTAGAAAAAATACCATCGCATTTGGTAGGACTTTGATTTTAAAAAAACTAAAAGGTTAATTCGCTCTGGTGTTCTTACTTTACAGAAAGATGATGGAAATTTCAAAGTTGTCAGAAAAAGAGGAGCTCCAATTGAAGAATAAGAAACTGATGGATAAAAACCTCCAATTGGTGGAAAAGAGAGTTTGAGAAAAGACTGAGCAGGTGAGAAATTTTCAGACAGCAACCTTGACTTTCTCTTTCAGAATTTCTTATTAATTTCTCCTTAGCTCCCTTTCTTGGACATACATTACACAATGTTATGGATTGAATTAAATTGCCTGGAATTAGGCTTGTTCAGAACATTTCAGTTCTCCATGTTGAGTGCCTTTATCTGATCTCAATGAGGCCTTGTTTCCTGAAAGACTTTCACTTCCAATAGCAGTAGCAAAGAAAAGAGAGCACTGGGTCCCAGATGGGCATCAGACATCATTAATCTCTTGACAGGGAATACTCCAGACAACCTTAGCTTTACCTATTTCCTCTGCTGTTTATTGACTTAAGGTGTTGGCTTCACCTTTATTCTGTATTTCAATCCTCATCTTCTCCATCCTTTTGTTCATATTAGAAACTTGGGAAATTGTTTTGAATTGGTTTGTTGTTTTCTGGTATGTAAGGGGGAAAAAAAAGTTTTTAAGATCTGAAAATTCCTTGTGGAAGTAATAGAATAGATTATGTAATGCTAATACTAAAAGTAGAAGTTATTAACTTGAACTTAAATAATCAAACTCTTAAATATGTTAGCCTTAATATTGAAGAAACTAGTCAAATCCTTTAAGAATATAATGGAGGTATAGTTATGATCTTGAAAGATTTACTGATTGTCAATTTTACTGAGCATTTCTAAAGTACCCAATAAATCATTCCAGCATTGGTTCCTGTAAGAAGAACTTGCTGGCTGTTGTAACAGAAATAGCAAAACTAAATTTATTAAAAAGTAACGCTATGTAGAACAAATAAAATGCCAGATATTTTTAATTAGTTTTAAGCAAGTTTGAGGATTCAAGTAAAAACCTAAGGGAGCTAATTTTACTTTTGTCTTGATATTTTACAGAATAAATATTTTAGATGAGCAGATGGACAAGAACGGAGAATCAAAGTCTCCTGACTTATTATTTCAAATTAAAATTTAATTATTAGAATCTTGAGGCCAGATATAAATAAGATACTGAATAAAAGAAATATTACTTTTGTGTGTGTGTGTGTAAGACAAAATAAGTATAATGGAGTGTAAAAAAATTAAGATCTTAGTTATAGTTGGTGATTCAAGTAAAAAAAGGGTAATTTCTGTCTGGTTTTCATAATTTACAGAAAGACAGCCATAATTTCAAAGATGATGTCAGAAACAGCAGAGCTTCGAATGAAGAACGAGAAACTTAAGTTTTAAAATCTTGAAATAATTGAAGAAAAAGGTGTTCTGCAAAGATTTCAAAGAAAGACTGAGCAGGGGAGAAACTCTAAATAGCAACCCTGACTTACTTTTCCAGAAAGGTAACAGCAATGTGACATCATGCTGGCCGTGTGGCTTGGAATTGTCTTCGGACAGTGCTGGCTCCTTCAACCAAGAAATGGAGATGAACACCGTTCCCTGTTAGTTGGCAACAACTAGCGGAGTAAAATCCAGAGGGACTCTTTACTTCTATCCTATGATTTATTCTAATCAATATGTTCTGTAATCATAAATCAATTTAATCCTGAAGAATTCCTCCCTTCCCTTCCCTCCCCTCTTCTCTAAATATTTGGAAAAGGCTCTATTCTTAAAAGGTCTGGATTGGAAATGAAAGCATTCCTCCTTAACTTGTTGTGTCCACTGAAAATCAATTGTACCCATAAAATATCTGAGGCAGGCCACCAGAATGCGTCTGGCCTTCCTTGCAGAGGTAGCCCTAAGTATGCTGTAGCACTACCAAGCCCTCAAGCCACACTGGCCATGCCATGGATGGAAAGCTTTGCTTGTTTCTCTACTCAGTGACCTCTCTGGTGGAGCAAAGAGGCTGGAAAGGAGCACAAGCCCCTTGCCACCCCCTCTCTAAGGGATAAGGCCAGGCTCTGCTCTTCCCATGTGAAATTGGAGTGAATCATCTCTAGACCAGAATAAGCTTTCCTCCCAAGACCTTTTCCTAGAATCCGACTTTCTGGGCTGGCTTGCTGATTCTGCAGTAAAAAGAGCTAGTATTTGGGCCCCAGCAGAGAAAGCCTTCCCTTCCTTCCATTGAGAGATTAAACTGAAATAAAATTTGCAAGGAGGAAAAGGGATCAGCTGGTAAGAAGAAGCACTGCTGATTTCTGTCTTTATTTTTCCTTAGTAATTTTTCCATTAGGCATTTAAAGGCCTTTTTTCTTTGTATAATTACAGGGCTGATTTTTTTTTTAAAAATAACACTTTATCATCATCTCTATTCCATCTGTCAGGGGAATCCATGGAATCACAGGGTCTTTGATTCTTCCTCCAGCCTGGAGAAAGGATGATCCAGCCAGCAACAGTTGAAGAAAGCAGGTGAGTTGCAGGCACCACGTTCATTCCTGTCCAAAGCTGCTACACAGCCTAAGAAGAGAGAGAGAAACCATGTGATAAAAAAGCATCGACCATATTGAGTGATAGAGGAAAAACCCAGATTTGCAGAAACTCAAGCATCTCATAATCCAACCCTTCACACCACCAACCTGCTGCAGCATAATAAAACTGACAACTGTTTGCAACTGTTCCACAACACACATAGCCTCGATGCCCTCTTCGAACATCAAAGTTGCAGTTCAATAGCAGAAAGATCCATTCTTGAAGTGACGAAGATGATCCAAGTATTTAAAAGCATAAATATCAGGATTTACTCTATTTAAGGTCAGAAGATTAGAACAGAGCAACTATAACATTTATATGTAATAATTGAAAGTTGTAGATGGGACAACTGAAGGCACTTGAGATAGAGTGGAAGTTTCATCCATTGTTCATCCTTGGCTAAACGACGGTGGGGGTCAAGACATGACAGCTCCTCTACTGTTAGGTCACCTGCATGGAGAAAAAAGGTGAGACAAACACACCTTTAATGAATCCGTCCCCATTTTCAACCAACCCAATTTTCACTGGAAATTGTAGAAACGCCTACTGGACTTGAAAGAGACAGAAAGAAATCCATTGTATTGTTGCCAAAATGTCTGGCAGAACCATTCCCCGTCTCCCCTTGGGCCCATCAATGCAAGTATTGGCAGCAAGACATCCCATCCAGGGATTCCTAGTCCACCATCAAGTGGAATGAAAGGAAAAAGAACCCTGCCTCTCTGCTCTTTTCTCCCAAGAGGTTTTAAAATGTTGGGGTCCCAAAAACAGTGGGGGACTCAAAGTTTACAATCTTATTTTCATTTTGCTACATACATTGATCCTAGTTTGATGGTCCCACAATAGAGTAGCTGATTCCAGGCAGATGAGAAGCATTGCCAGCTGTGTTCCTCAAAAGTCCTGTGGAACAAAAAAGATCCCTTTGCTTCCTGTTCTCAGGAGTCTCATGGTCAAAACACACACGTGTAATTTAGGGTATGTTCATTAGGCCTTTAAAGCCGTCCTCTACCTCTATGGCTACTCCCAGCTTCTTAAATCCCAGGCTCTTTGAAAGGAGGATGCTTTGGGATGGCATTTCAAGCAAAGGACCCTATAACCTGTTTTGGTTTCTTATCTGCAATTCTGGCCATGGAGCATTACAATTAAAGAGGCCTCTTTGTGAAGAAGTTCCTGCGTGAAGAGAAACAGCTCTTGTGACAACCAAATTCCCATGCTACCTGCTATCCTCAAGAATAATCCCCCATTTAGATTGTTCCCATATATTGGAACATTTCACTGGAGTTCTAATACCTGATTCAGTGAACGTTTGTACAGGTCCAGTTTTCCTGCAAGCTTCCCTGGGACTTTGAAACCCTTACCTTCAAAATAAAAATTAAATGATCCGTTGCTGCAGACTGCTGAAGAAGGCCCCAGAGCATGAAGTCAAAGGCCTCCTCCAGCAATTTCTTCTTTCGCCGAAATAAAAAAACAAAGGTGAAGACTTGTGGAATGTTTTCCCAGGCGTTCCAATACCAGAAAGGAAGTCCCAGAAATGTTGCTGAAGTTGGTACCTCTGAAACATTCTCACCAATTTTCATGGAGGACAGCCACATGAACCCACAGATCTCCAGGAGAGGAGAATCAATGCGTGGGTCCATGGCTGGTGGAACTTCGCTGAGAGATCAAAGAAGAGAAGAGACCTCAGTGCCCATCTTAATGAATTTCCCTCTGGTTTATTTTACTCAAGACAGTAGCAGGCAAAAGAAAGAAAAGGCTGACCTGATCTCATAAATAGCAAGTAATGCAGCTAGTCCTGCTGTGAAGCTGCTATTTTTCTCCATCAGAGCTTGGCAGGGAACAAGAGTGGAGAGAAGCAAGGGAAAGTCAGCCAGACTGCTCCAGCACTCCCCTTTCTATTTTTCCCAGCCTCTTTTGACTTGCTCATTTCCTACAGCAAAGGGAATTAGCCCCAGGTTAAGGACCCTTTGCATAGGCCACATTTTGACAGTCCAGGGGCAGCTTTTCTCTCCCCCCCATCCCTGCTCCTATCTCTGTCCTGCTTTGTTTGCCTCCAATTGCCACCTGCCTCCCTCTTACTTACCAAGACGGCAAGGCTGTAGAGGTCCTTGTTTCTTGGCTTTGGGACTATCCGCTCTGCCTGTTTGCCCACTCTGCTTCAGCTGAAACAGAGTGGCAATGGAAGAAAGGCCTTGAACGAAGCTGCTCTCCTGCTGCAACTGAAAACAGTCAGGCTGTAAGTTGGTGGGGCTGTGGGGCATCTTGACCCCTGGGTCCTCCCTTTCAGAAGGGAAGGTTGAAACCATTTTGGGTCTCTGTTCATTCTGAGGAATATTTTTGCACCCCTCTGAGAATGGGATTCACACTTGGGAGAAAGGCTTAGCTATGGGACCCTTTAATTCCAAGGGGTATCTACTTGTTGGCCTGTTTTCGTTTTCCTCTCATGGACCTCTTCCCATAAACTTTGGCTCTTCCGTTGGTCCCTTATATGGCAGGCAGCCTAGCAAGGTGCATTCTCTTCTTTTGTGATGTCCCTTTTGGTGAAGAGAATATTGTTCTTCATGGTCCTGGCCTTTGTCGTGAAATCTGGGAAAGGAGAGGCAGGTGTTTAACAAAGTTTTAGGTCTCCCCCAGATGAAGACTACCCCCTCCAAAATCAGGCTCCTCTTTGCAGCCCAAGGTTCCCTAGACACAGGAGCTGCAGGAAGAGGGGTGCTTAGTGGGTCAAGAACAGCTTGACCGCTAATCTGTCCCTCTGTGCAGCCTTGTATCTTCAAAGATGCAGATTTGTGTCCTGTATATCCCTGCATCTAGGTGTCCACTCCAAAAGGAAATCCTTCCCTTTCCCTCTCAAGGTCACAGCCCAATCCAAAGCGTCCACTCACCACATCGCTCCGCTTTCTGGACCTCCACATCCACGATAAACCTGACAAGCTTTCTCCCAGAAGCCTTGGTGCTGCCCTCCAGTTGGCAGGTTGGAGAACTTGGAACATCAGCTCCTGAATCCCTCACCTTCTTCCTTTTCCCTCCAAAGCAGGAGAAATACCTGAAAAAAGCCCTAGAAGAGAGAAAAGGGAATGTGAGGAAAGGGACCAACTAAAGCCTACTTTCCATAATCACTTTAATTCAAGAAACTAGAATAGAAAAATGATACTCTTGGCTTGAGCTCATCACTTTTAACCTTAGTTTGGTTTTACATGATGGGATGTGTTCCACAACCATGTGAGTTTCTTAAATTTTTAAAAGATTTTCCTAATTCACAGGTTAAGGCTGCTAAGTTATCCCAACCAATTGGAAAGTACTCAGCTAAGTCTTTTAGTGCCAATAAGGAATTAAAGATAATGTGTTGCTCTGGAACACATTTGTCTCTCCCCCCCTCCCATTCCCCATTCCTAAGAGGACAACAAATGGCTTTTTTTACCATTGGAATGTCCCAATCGTCTGTGAAGTTGGCTACAAGATGGGAAAGTTCTCTAGAGCCAAGCAGGCTTTCTGAAAACCTACTTACATCCTGGAAGCCATCTTCAGTCTGATCACTGACAACTGACAGTTGTGCTGGCTAGATGACAGGCCTCCCTTGGGATCCAATCAAAGCACCTTTCCTACACACGCCAATGCCAGCCCAAGGAACCTACTAACAAATCACCAAAGCTATCTATTTCTTATACTTTGGCACAAAGGCATGGATCTTTGGTTGTAGACAGCCTCTTTATGTGGAAGTGCCACTAAGCTAGCTGACTCAGCAAGACTCACTGATTGGGGGCAGGGAGAAGACAGAACCAGTGGTGAAATTCAAATTTTTTTTACTACCGGTTCTGTGGGCGTGGTGTGGCTTGGTGGACATGGCAGAGGAAGGATCCTGTAAAATCCCCATTCCCTCCCCACTCATGGGGGAAGGATATTGCAAAATCTCCATTCCCACCCCACTCTCGGGCCAGCCAGAGGTAGCATTTGCTGGTTCTCTGAACTACTCAAAATTTCTGCTACCAGTTCTCCAGAACCTGTCAGAACCTGCTGGATTTCACCTCTGCAGAGAACAGACATTCTACCCAATAAAAATATTGTATGGCTTAATGAAGCTGAGCCCCAAATTATAGGACCCTCTTTTAGACAAGTTCCAAAGTTCAGGGATCCTGCTTTTTTCAGAAAGCCAAAGAATCAAGACTTCTTTTTTTCACAAGAGGCCTAGATCTTCCAAGGTAGCCTGTCCTTTAGTACTGAAGCTCTATAAGCTGCCCACTTGAGTGAGTTATCATGACAGCTTTCTTCCAGTTGTTTTTTCTAACTACCCCTTTGGCTCACACCATAGCTGAGTTGCCACCATTCTTTCTAATTGCTATTTTTTCCACATTGGGATAAAATTGTTATTAAATAGTTGGTTGATTTTTTGTAAAAGAATCATTTTCTAGATATTTGAAGGATATCCTTTCTACCTCCTGAGTTTGGGAATTGCTCAGAATCATAATTGGTAATTTGAATCTGGGCTTTGGCAATATTCTTTATTTGAAGTACCCTTTTGGAAAAGAAGCTACTAGCCTTAAAACCTTTCTTCAAGTTATCAATTTGGAAACACCAACTCTCATTCCATTTCTAATTTTTTTGTCCATGATTCTCATTAGTTCACTTCCTCCCCCTCCCCTCCTTTCCCCTCTCATCCCATTTATTCCGATAGAGAGCTAGATTCACATGATGGGTGAGATCCTTTCTCTGCTCCAGTTTAGGGGACTACTATATTCATTTTTAGTAACCTACTTCCCAATTTGCATTGCCTTTGCATTAACCACCTGCAATACATTGCCATTCTCTATTTTCCCTTATTTCTTGGTTAATACAAACCAGAGGTCCCCAAACCCCGGACCACCCCCACTACTGGGCTGGTCCACTGCTTGCATGGGACAATTCCCCTCCTCACTGGGCCATCAAATCATAAAGGTTGGGGACTGCTAATATAAATTACATCAAACAACACCCAATATATTCTTCCCATAAGTCGAAGGATTACCTTGTCAAATCTTCTAAAGATATACTGTATGAAACTTAATTAAAACAAACCACCCTCAAATCTGGTTCTTCATTAATTCTTAGGAAGCATTTCTTGGGTTTATTGAGACCTTATTCATCACTGGGGTCATAGAAATATCACTTCCTTGTAGTAAAATGCAATTAACTAGAAAGTGACCCTGCTTTATATCCTTATCTCTCTTTAGTAATTCTTCCATTAGACATTTAAAGGCCTTTTTCCTTTGTATGATGGCAGGACTGATTTAAAAAAAAAAACCATAACCACAACAATTTTTCTGTAGTCCATTAGCTTGTTTCACCTAGCTGTTTACAAACGTCAGTTTTTCTCAATGATTTTGGGAACAGAAGATGCCCTGGAATTGATCCAATGCAGATTTATTTATTTTTTTTGCAAAACAGAGATTTTAATTGTAACTTTATGATTGGATATCAGATACCCAAACAAATACAGATTTAAAAAAAAAAATGAAATAGAGAAAAGAACACAGGTTCTTTAGAGAAACAAGTGAAGAAGTTTCTCTATCCAAAGTTTATTCATTCAATTTGTATAGCTATCCATTTCAAAAAGTGACACAGGCGGCAGACAAACCTAAGGTCAATTAAACCAACTGAAAATGGAACACAAAAAGAAACCAACATACATAGCAGCTGACAGATATTCCAATCTGTAGAGGTTCACATAATCAGGGAATGGGGCCTTTCACACATTTGGAACCTCAGCCCCAGGAACACCATCAGCTCTTCAAGGACTTTTGAAAGGCCAACTGGATCTGGGCTATATCCTCCAGAAATTGTGACAGGCTTCCCAGGTAATTCCAGATAGGAAACATGACAATTTAAGCTAATTCTACCATGTTATTAGGCTACATGAAGAGGATCTTGCAAGCCTGAAAGTACAAACTTTCCACCAATACTTCTAAATGCTTGGTCAATCAGGTTGCTTCCTGACCATTTAGTGATCACTTCCTTTTTAAAAAATATATAAAAACTATTTCCCCAAAATTAAGCTCTATGGGCATCCAAAACCCTTCTACTTAAGTACAGATCCCAGTACTACTATTATATAGGGATTACATACTGAAGAAATCACAAGAATGAATTATTTGAATTTTATTTAATCCATGAAACCTTAGAAACAACATAGAAAACATATTCTAATACAATCAATTAGAATAACCTGTAAAAGCTTGGAATTGAGGCACAAAATATAACAAAGAATGCTCTAATTTGCAGACACTATTGAATATTGTTAATAATACATTAAAAGAACTAATAAAAGTTTAAGATTATAGAAATATTGTCTGTCAAATTTGACTTAGTGACTAGTTAATTTATGTTTAACTTTAATTAATTTGGGAACACCTATTACTGAACATTTGAAATATATGCACCTAAATAGACTATCTAATTCAGAGAGCAACAAGCTGCTCCTCCTTTCCATCTTCAAGTATATTATATATTTTTTTACCTATTCTATCACATCTAAGACGTTCATAAGGAAATACATTTGGATAATCAACGTTAACACTATTCTATCTCACTAAAGAACTGTGGGACAATAAAACAGAATTCCAGAAGGAAATACATCTGTGTAATCTATAATATCAGCTTTCAGAAATAAACCCATTAACCACTGAAAGTGCATCACCTCTAAGAAAGTTTTTTACTCAGAGTTGGTTTGGAAAAGGAGAAGATTCAGAAAACAACGAAGAAGTACAGTCTGAGCAAGAAAAAAAGAACAAGAAATGGAAAAAGAAGTGACAACAGAAGATATAATTGTTGAAGAACAATTAGAAAAAGAAAACTCACACCCGAAAATGGGACAGAAGTTTCTTTCCAAGATGGTGATGAAAATATGGAAAGAGTGAAAGAGAAAAAAGAAGAAACAAAAATAATCGAAGTTTCATCAGGAATAAATGAGGATTTTGATTCATTTTGAGTATGAAGCTGATGATGAAGCTCAAAATGCTGAGCAAGATAATTTCCAAGTCAAATTCCAGAAAAGAGAGAAAGTACGATAATAACACGTCTGTAAAGAACAAAAAGTGTAGCTGGGGAAGATGATGTTATAACAAAGAACACACTAATTACTTTCAGGACATCTATTACTGAACATTTTAAATATTATAAGCACTTAAATACACTACCTAATTATAGTAAAAGAACAACAAGCTCCTCCTTGTTTGCATCTTTAAATAAATTGTTTCATTATGCTCTTCTGTCATGTCTAAGAAAGACCACACAGCAGCATATGCAAGCTTTCGTTGTTGAAATTTGAAAAAAATGTATATGTATTGGAATGAAGAAGCTATTTTTGTTGGGACATATTTGAACAGATGTGACTATTTTTTAAACATTTTGATGAGGTCAGTGTGATGAAGAAAAGGCCAGACTTTTTCATTACTCCAACAGAAATGTGGAAGCAAAGAGATCAAATTGAATTTCTAGGGGCAAACTGTTTGGCAGGTTCAACCTATGATCACCACTCTGCCCAGGAAGAAACTTCTCATTGCTGATATGGCCTCTTCTTGCCTTCAGTAGCACTTAATAGTTTCTGATGAGGAGGCAAGCCTTCTGATCCCTTGCTTCTTCCCTCACTGATGGAAGCACCAAACTGGAAAAGGTGCAAAAAATTTCCTTCCACCAAATTGACTGACTGATCTTTGGGTTCCTGGACTCCACTGGGTTCTATATCATTGAAATGAAACAGAAAGGTTGAATTAAATATATGGTAAAAGAAACAACCTTTATAATTTAAAAAGTAATCTATATATCTAAAAACTAAATTCCACTCACTCATCATGAAATCTCCAGAACGGTAAAGCCTACAAACTTGAAATTTGGCACGTATGTTCCTCTTGGCTTTTAGGTGCTTGCTAAGAAAGTATTTTTCGAAATGACCATCAGATCATTAGTATTTCATATACAGTATTATATTCACATGCTCTGATGCTAAGGAACTAGACATTCTACTCCCCCTGCCAACCTGAAAGGAACTCTGTCCCAACTGCCAGTTGCCTCAGTTCAAACTGGCAGAGGTTCCACTCATGAGCGGTTTGGGGCTCCCTACAGTACTAAATGTCACTACCTCAAAATATCTATGACTTCCACCTATGGAACTGTTTCTGAACTCAAGGCAGTGGGAGAGATATTCACTTATGAGTTTCAATCACCGACCACCACTGAGCCAACGGATTGTGAACCAAATTTCTCCTGCATAGTGTCCCAGCCCCAAATCACTTCTTACAGTGACCTCCTCAATTCAGACGAATCTGTTCCTTCTACTGTAACACCAGTTAAAGGGAAAAGTGGGGAAAATGCAGGAAAAGATTTACATAATGTGATTAGGAAAACACGTAAGGGAAGCTGCAAAAAAGTATCGTGGAGAACAGGCAACTACTCGAAGTGGTAGTCTGATGGGATCAGAGGAATTTGGGGTATGAAAACTGTTTCTCCCTGATTGATGCCTGTGAAAATCGTGACTTCGATTATGTGTTTGTATAGAATCTTCACCTGAAGCCTGGTGCCATTGCACAGTTTCAGAGGGGTTAGATTGAGTAACCTTGAGCGCCAACCTTGAGTTAGAGGACATGAGGTGGTAATCCTGGTGGGTTGAGATGTGCAAGAACTCCACAGGGTAATGTACAGCATCCTCAACCTCCCATTACCAAGTCCACAGATTCATACTTCATATGCTCAGTGGACAGCTTCTCCAGCAGAAAGTTGTTGATGCTGTTGGCTGAGTCATTTGTTGGAGTGAGAATAGCTCTTTCCCTCAGCCATGAAACACAATCCACTCCAGTCTGATGAATGTAGGGGTATATTCTGTTAGTCAAGCTGATCAGATCTTTCACAACATTGCAACGGTTACTTGGAATAGTTATTCTTCCCTCCTCTTCCAAAAGCTTGCCATCACCAATATCAAGTAATGTTAGAAAGCTTTTCTGCCCTCAAATCACGTTGAAGGTGGACACGCATGTTAACTCTCAAGGACAGGACTTTGACATTAGGCCATAAAATGGATGACTTGAGACAGACCTTGACTTCATCTGCACGTGTTCCTCATGGCACAACAGGAAACGTCTGTCTGAAGTTAACCAGCCAAGAGCACCATAACTCCACCCATAAGACGGTTGCTGCCCCTAGTGTCCTGGAGCGTCCTGTTTAGAGCCTCAATACCTCCTTTGTGAGTCATGGTGCACTCATCCCACACAATAACTTTGGCTTCTCGAAGCACCTGAGCCATGTCACTCTGCTTAGAGATGTTACAAAGTGCAGACTCAGAATGATTCAGGTTGAGAGATAATTTGAGTCGGAGAAGAAGTGGCTAGGGAAATTTCTGATGTTTCTTCAGGATAGACAGAGAAGAAAGAGATTCTGAGCATCTGAGTGGCCCACTGTTGTTTGATTTATCCCCCTTGCTTCCAGATATGATTCTTCCCTGCTGTTCTGTCCCCCTTCCTCACACAGGCAAACACACAACCAGGCACTCCTGCCAAGATTTTATTAAGCAATCAGACTAGAAACCCTTGGACATAAGAGTTTTGGCAGTAAACTGTGAAATGCCTGCCAAGTCAGTTTTCATTCACAGTCAACAAGTGAGTTTCTCTCAGTCCGATTCAGTAGCAAAAAGTAATCCAGGAAGCAAGAATTGGCCAAGGTCCAATCCAGATTTCAGGTAACGCGATATGACTCGCAGGTTTTTAACTTTGACCGTCACAAAACCTGAAGAGCAATCACACCCACTTTTATTCCTTGTGGGGTGTGGCTCAGTGACTCAGCTCAATCTCTGGTCCTTCCACGCCTCTTTCGTTGCTGCGCACGCTTCTCCCTCCGACACTGCCTGGGATCAAGCCAGGATTCATCATCCTTGCTCTCTATCTGTTGTTGTTCTGATATGCTTTCCTCCTGGCACATCCCAGGCTGTTCCTCTTGGCCTTCGGATGGAACCTGAGGCATTGCCAGAGAGGACGGTCCTGGAGAGGGAGACCTTGTCAGTTCCTCCCCATCACCTTCTGAGTCCTCTTCCTCTGTTA